ATGTGCTTTAAAATGTATTTTGACAAATGTCTTTTCTCTAAAAAAAAAAATGACCCACAGCAGCGTGTAAATGCATTTAAATTTCAGAACGCACACATTTTTTTTTTGATGACCTTCATTTGTGCCAACGCTGTGTCACGCGCATGTTGTTGTTACTACTTAACACTTGGGCGACACACGCTACCCCATTTTCCCGCTCGCATGACCATTCATTTCCCAGACACCCCGGCTGCGGACTAACAGTGTAATCTATGTGTCAGGCAGGAAGGGGCACTCAGTTTAAAGCTGATAGAGTTTGCCCCAAACAAGGACAGCCTATCATAGAAAGATTAATGAACTAATTTCATGCATGGCTCCTTGCCTCTGTCCTTCTGCAGCTTCCATGTTCGGCTGTGTGTTCAGCGCCATGATTTACGCTGTGTTCCTTGCAACAAGCTTAACCCCAAGCTTAACAATAATATTTCCCTTCAGTGGGAAAATACATAGTAAAATATGGAGAGTGGGGTTTTTAACCCTTCGCTTGTCGAGCCAAGGATAGCATGAGGTCATTGTGGAGGATTACTTTGAATATGCATTTTAGATTTTTTTTTTGTTTTTTTGTGTGACTGCTGGTTAAAATTTATAGCGCAGAAATTCGGAGGCTGGAAAACATATTTCATGGTTTAGGGAAGAGGTGGATGGATTCAGGATTTATGTAGGGAAGCAGGGGATCTGCAACACTGCCAGCATGGGGAGGCATGCCAAAACACACACACACGCACACACACACACACACACACACACACACACACACACACACACACACACACACACAGGCAAACATTTGAGATTTTAAGCTGCTCTGGTGGGACATTTTCACACCCATCACACTTTGGCTCCAAAATAAAAATAATAATAAAAAAAAACAGTGGTCACTGATGTGAGCGTGCTCAGTATGTCAGGCAGCGTCTCGCTCATGTTACACATTACGGACAGCTCTCTGTTTTTTTGCATGGAGTCGCTGTCTTTCTTCCAGTGTGGTGGACAGACTGAAACCCGTGTCTGCTGCCGCTGCTGCTGCTCCAAGGCGTCCATTGTGGGACTGTCTGGGCCTCTAACAACAGCAGAGCAGAGAAGGCAGGTGACCTTCACGTCTGTCTGATGAGTCTTGCTTGTCTGCTTGGTTTGTACCATTTTTCTGCGCGGCGGAGCAAACACCACCCCATTAGATATTAGGTGCAATGCGCGTTTGAGTGTGTGTGTCTGTGTGTGTGTGTGTGTGTGTGTGTGTGTGTTGCCAAGGGAGCGGGGCGGGTTGAGGAGAGTCAGCCTGCGCTTAGAAAACTCTGTCTCTTTATAATAAGAGGAAGAAACCAAATTATGAAACTATGAAGCTATTTCTGTCGGCACGAATTGGTGGTTCATGCCATTATTTCATTTCGACAGATTTGAAAGGACCCATTAGAAATTTCCATTAAACCTAACAAAAAACATCTCCCCAGCGTTACTGTGTGCTAAGTGGGGAATGAACTACTTTTTACATATGCCACAATGTACTATTCCATAGGGAATCCCCCTATCTGGCTGCAATGATGTATTAACTGTTACCACGCCGCTCTCTCCAATTCCCTCAGATGGGAGAAAATATACCTTCTGATTGACTATAGGTGCATGCTGATCGCTAACAAGATTTAACATGAGCCATGTGAATCTTTTATAAACCGCCATAGCCTCAGAATGAAGACTAACATAATGTATCGCTCCATCTCGCACTATGTTAACAGTCCTGACTGATTAAAAATGCATAAGGAATGTCTGGGACCCGTAAGAGGAGGGTTTATTTTTTCATGCCTCATCTGGAACAGGAAGGAAGCAGAGGATCAATAGATCTGATCTGGGCCCAGGGGTAGAGGCTATCTCCTCCTCCCTCCTCCCTGCACTCGCTACCCCTTAGCAGTTAAAAGAGAGGTTTCATGTTGTCAGGGGCCTGATGACTTCATGGCTTTATTTAAACACTTATGCAAAGAGGCAGCCGAGGGAAAATACATTCCTAGCCACAACACCAAAATTTCGGGGGCGGCCCCCTGGCAGCAGAGAGGCAACAAGTTCAGAGGGATCTGGTCAGCATTAGCTTCCTGTTAGTTTCAGACATTCTTAACATGGTTCTCCACTGTTCTCACCCAGTGTTTGCAACTCGCAAGCACGTAGGGCTCAAGTTGTGTTAGATCAGCACCAACTCTGACGGACAGAGCCAGCAGTTCTAACACAGATCCAGGCCTCATTTCATGCTTTGTTTGAGAGGATGTTATTGAAGCTACTGCAAGTTAAGCAGCATACAGTGCAGAAGCTGTGCTGGCTGGAAGAGAACTTATTGTCCCACAATAGCAGTGGTAGTTGCTGTTATTTATGCCCAGCTTTCGTGGATTTATGAGACATTTTTCAGAAAGTACATAACGTCATTCATAAAACTTTACATGGCCAATAAAGAGCTGTGTCCTCTTTAAAGAGAAACGTATATATTTTTCAACCTGGACCCTATGTTCTCATGTTTTTGTGTCTAACTGATGGATCACAACCCCGTCTCCTGGATATTACATTTGTATGTTACTAAACTGCTTTCTTAATTACATTGTTGTAGCACCGTTATCGCTGTCTAGATTATGTTCAGGTGGCAAAACACTACATTCAGCTACTGTGCAGGCTTCTGAGAGACATGGTCAGGGAGGATGGCGGGCGTACAAAGTGCAGGACCTTGACAGCAGAACTTCATGTTCATGTCCAGACTCCTGTCTTAGGTTTAGGCAACAAGAGCAGTTTGGTTAAGGGTAGGGAAAGATCATAATTTTGGTTAAATGTTGATATAAATGGTGATATGGTGGTTAATGGATACTGTTTCGTATCATTGCCTATTTTGTTGGAAAATAACTAAAATACGAGTGAACGTTTCGGTGATACATCCAATATCAACAGTTTTGCAACTTGCCAGATACATTAATTAGCAACATATCCGCATTATGTTAAGAGAAGACAAAATTTGTTGAGCATTACATTTTCCTCAAACATATTTTCTGCTTTTGATCAGTTGTATTTAAATGTAATTTCTAAGAGAAAGGTCTGTGAATGGAGACAACAATTTCTGAAACTGGTCTAGTGTTGAGAGAGACCGCTGCAGCCACAGCAGCGAAACAGGCTGCCATGTGGTTCTTGAAGGCAATTGTGCAACACAATTCACATCCACTAAAAGTGTTTGTTTTTGCCACCGACAGGCTCAGATTGTTATTAGAAGTGTCTGGCAACATTATGGAAAGGACCCCAACAGAGAAATGAAACACATTCCTTATCTTGCACTTGTGTGATTGTTTTTGTGGCCAAGTATCACTCAAGGAGAAGTCTTGTTCTGAAATTCCACGACAGGTGACTTGTTACAGGAAAAACAACGGTAGAAACATTAGTGAGATTTGGAAAGAGGAGTGCCGGACAGAGTTTGTTCAAGGTTCAAGGTTCAGTTTATTGTCATTCAAAAATGAAAGAAAATACACGAGGGAACTAAATCCGTTACCCAGGTCCAGCAACATACAGAATAAATAAAATTTAGGATGTGTAAAAAGTACAGGAACTGTAGCATAGTGTTATCTGAAAGATTTTCAGTGTCATGGCTGAATATTTACCTGATTTCGACAATCAAAAAGGTCCATGAGATTTCAGAACGAGACTTCTCCTTGAGCGAGACTTGGTCACAATAACAAACACACCAGCAAAAGGTAAGGACATATGTTCTTTTCCCTGTAGGGATTCCTTTCATAACATTGTTAGAAGCTTCTTATAACACTCAGAGCCTGTCAGTGGCAAAAACAAACATTTTTACAGGACGTAAATTGACAGTGCCCAATTGCCCGTTGGGATTATATTTCAGCCTGTTAAGCTGCTGTGGCTGCAGCAGTTTCTCTCAATAGTGGACCATTTTAAAAAATTGTTTACATAAGTCACTTATACACAAAAACATGGGAAAATAGGGTCCAGGTCTAAAAATTCTTAATCACCCTTTAAGCTCTAGAAATAAAATCTGCTATGAAAAACGTTCCCTTTCTAAAATACAACTGAAGAAAGCATGCAGCAGTGCAAGAACTCCTCCGAGAACCTTTTGTTTTTGCTCACATCTGATCATATTTGGTAATTATCTGGCTGAAACAAGTACTTTTTGTCCATAAGTCTGTTGTTTTCCATTAACTCTGTCTTTTCCCAATTTTTCTGATGAAATTTGGGATCAGGGAACCTAATCCCAGGTCAGCGCCTCTTCCTCAGCCTCTCCAACCTCTCGCTTAAGTCCACCGTAACCCGGCACCGTCCTTTGGCAAACTAACCGGGACTATTGATTGAGTCATGTATTACCCATGATCCTCCATATGCTGAGTGTAACACCTCTCTCTGTCCATTAACAGCCTTCTGAAGTTTCATTCATTCATTTACTTCTGGCAGCCGACCAATTGTGGGCATTGTTTGCAAGATGTATGGGGCATCTGTTGACATGGTCGTTAGTTACCATTTTGCCTGAGAGAAATAAGCTGCTGTAGTATATCACTTGGCATTCCAACACATAAATGGTTGTGTCTGTAATATAATCTATCAAACTGAGACGGAGCGGCGCGCTCCATCACAGCTGATGAATCTCTCGCAGAATGATCAGGAGATGATGGAAGAAAGCAGCGCTCAGTGCATCTTGTCAGACTTGTTAGTGGTGATAATTTCACTGATACTGCAGTTTTCTGATGTACATTTGCTTTCATGTAAGAGTCTTTGTGAGTTTTTTTGCTTTAATTGAAAGATACATGACGAGTTAAGAAAATTAGAAAGCAGTTTGGCCTCGCAGAGTCCTGACAGAACTCATTTGATATCTTTAAAGATGTTCTTTTATCAGCCAAGAACAATTTTTCCTCTCAACTCCTGAATTGCTTCCCAGTTTGCATGATATTGTCCCTCACCAAAACTGACCTCAGCTCTCGCTCTGTGTGTGTTTTACCCAGGTTGCTAACCAGAATGCCCGCTGAGGACCGACACTTATCATCCAGCTGTGGTTCTTACGTCAAAACCGAACCCTCCAGTCCATCCTCCTCGCTAGTAGACACCGGCAGCCACCACAGTCCCAGCGGCAACTCCGACGCCAGCGGCGGCTACGTGAACAGCAGCAGCAGACACTCGCACGCCCTGGACTCCCCACCAATGTTCAACCCAGGCATGCTCGGAGGCGGCGCCGCCTGCCTACGCCGCTACGAGGAGTGCTCCGGCGTCGTGGCAGACGACTCGTCGATCAAGTGCGAGTACATGCTCAATGCCATTCCCAAGAGGCTGTGCCTGGTGTGTGGTGACATTGCCTCGGGGTACCACTACGGTGTGGCCTCCTGTGAGGCCTGCAAAGCCTTTTTCAAAAGGACGATACAAGGTATTTCCCACTTCCTCTTTCAGCTCTCACTGGCTCACCTGAGTCTGAACGCTCCCAGTTAAACCTGAGAATAATCTGATTTTCTGTAATTTCCCAGGTGGTTGAATATTCTGCTAAGAATGTGTTAACCCTTTAACCCAGGTGTGCTGTAACACCTGTGTGCTATTTTTTCCATGTCAACTCTAAAGACTTTTTATTAGCTTTACCATGACAGTTGTGATTGCCACAAAAACATATTGACCTGATTGTCATGTGCTCCGCGTGTTCCTCAGTGCTGGTATGCAACCGTCTGCTCTTATGGGACTAATACAAGGTAGTGATTACGAGAGTCTACAGCAGGCATTAGGCCCAGACTGTAAATCTGCATGTGAATCGTACATCTGGCATCGACTCTGCCATGTGTGGGAGCTCGTCCAGAGTAATCACTAGGACAGAGATAATATGCTGCAAAGTAAAATGCATAATTTTGAATTTTATCTGCAGGATATGTTGTCCGTAGACATGGAGCTGGACAGCAGGTTAGCGAGGCCTCGATGAATGTGATCAGTCTAAACTCTTCTGGATTACAGACACAACACAAAACAGTTAAACATCTTCTTAATTCCTGTCTAGACTTTTATTGGTAGTTGGCAAAAACTATAAAAGTGCATTACTGCCAACAACACAGCTGGTTACAGGTGTAATATCTTCCTATAATATAAAACAGAAACTTCACTGAGAGCATTAATGTTTCCTGTAAACCAGGTCAACTGTATTAACCAGACTGCTGCACAGCAGTTTAGTTTATTTATTTATGTGCACACATGTGTAGAAACTTTTCATTTCTTTTTTCCTGTCTTTTGTGATTTTTTTTAATTTGATTTTTGATTTGATTTATTTGTTTTAAACATTTAAAATAAATAAATAAAATGTTAAAAAAAATGTTTGAAAGTAATAAATCAAATCAAAAAATCAAATGAAAAAAAAAAATCACAAAAGACAGGAAAAAAGAAATCAAAGTTAAAATATTGTCCAGGAGAGGTTAGAAGCCAAAAATGGCTTATGAAGGTACCTCCCCTACTAAATAACCACAATCATACATAAAAAAAAAGATAGAAGCAAAGACTGCATAATTGAGTAAGAGATTCAGACTAAGAAGTAATACACAAATGTTAAATAAATAAATATATGATTTACAAAACAAAAAAAGTATTTACAAGCTGAAAAAAATTACAAATAATTCAATGAAGTGTTAAGAGTCTTTGCAAATCAGAGTCCTTTTGAGATGCTTTTTGAAAAACAATAATGTATATGATGATTGCAGAGATGAAAAGAAGGTTGTTCCAAAGAGACGGTCCTCTGTATTTCAATGAATATTGATTAAAGGAAGTCCGACAATATGGAAGATAAAAGTCCTTAGTGTCTTGTCAAATATGAGTGAATGTTGGAGAACTTAAAAAAGTTCTAAGCAAGTCATGTGTGAGATATACATATTTATACATGAATACACAAGTCTTGTATATGTTCACATTAAAAATTGACATGAAGTTAAACAGCTGACAAGTTAAACAAGAAGGCAATGTGAGCACTCCAAAAATATAACAAGGAATATATCCATGAGATCATTGTTGAATTCTTGGATTTTGTGTGCCTGGATTATCTTCCCGTTAATACAGTTTTTTCCCACCAGACAAACTTTTTTGATCTGCGTTGGATTCTCATCCATAAAACTGAATTGTTTTGTACTTTTGCAAAAAATGAAACACATGTCAGAGGTAAAAAGATGATACGAGACCAGCTGTATTGACACACAAAATAAGCAATCACAAAGAAAAGTGGAGACAACAAAAATAAGTCTTCTCATTATAAATGGTTGACAAACAGACAGCATATGATATTTTTTAAACCTACAAATAACTTTGTCATATTTGCTGAAGCTGTCACTATGTCCACAGAGTAGTACATGAGACAGTCATTTGTAAGATTCCACCGCATGTGAACGAAAACAACCAATCAGAGCAGAGGAGTCTGTAAAGCAGCTGTCAATCATGTTTATTGCTCTGTGAACTGGGGTCAAACTGTCAACCTAGGTAGCGCTGATCAAATATGAGTCAAGATTGTGTTACTGCGTTGATTATTTCTCACCTCAAATGTTCTCAGAAAAATGGGGCAAACTTTCTCATTTTACAGCTAAACAGTGCACTAAAATATATGTCTGAAAACATCTGAGGTGAGAAATAGGCAATGCAGTGACAGAATCTTGACTCATGTTTGATCAGCTCTGCCTAGTTTGACAGTTTGACCGCAGGTCATGAGCAGTGATCGACATGATTGACATCTGCGTGAGAGATGCCTCGGCTCTGATTGGTTGTCGTTCGCGTGTGGTGGATTCTTGCAAATGTCATTAGATTTTTTCAGAGACTATCTGTCTCAGGTACTCAACAGTGGATATTGTGACAGTTTCAAAAAGTTATTTTCATACCAACTGTAGCTTTAAAAAATATCGTATGCTGTCTGTTTGTCAACCATTTATAAACATCCCACATTAATACGAAGACTAATTTTTGTTGTCTACACTTTTCTATGTGATTGCTTGTTTTGTACGACAATACAGCTGGTCTCACATCATCTTTTTACCTCTGATATGTATTTCATTTTTTGCAAAAGTACAAAACAATTGAGTCCAGCAAGGCCGTTAGAAGCGGTACAAGGCACAAGAGTAAGCAGAGGGGCATGATTTTCCCCACAGATTGTTTGTCTCATGTCGTACTGTGTGAGCGTAGTGACAGTTTCAATGTGTCAAAGTTACTAACTGTAGTAAATAAGCAGATACACCACACATAGGAGGGATGGATTGCTCCTTCTTTTAATTTTTTCATCATTTGAGATGTTACAAACAACACGTTTCGCTCGTGGCTTCATCCGGTTTACCAACTGTAGCTTTAAAGCCACTCACTGTCGTCTGGCTCATTTAAGTTACCTGGCTGAAGTCAGTGTGTTGAAGGGATTCATTCAACGTGTTACAATATTAAAAGTTTAGAAAGTAAATGAAAAATTCAAACCAGTCAGACTGTAAAGAAACAAAGTTACACTGGCTTAAATCAACCTAACGTTGGCATTCTAGCTTCCTCTGGTCATTTACAGTCTGCATGTGTCTCGGTCTGACCAGCAACACAGTGACGGACTGTAAATAGTGCTCATGCGTGACTTTGTGTTGCCTCGCAAAGATTCCCCCCTCTCTCTTCTTCTTCCTCTCGCTCTCCTTCGTGGAGGACAGCCCCATAATGAACCTAATCTGTCCGTCATTCGTCCTGAGCCGCGGGAGTTTCAGTCAATAACAATCAGTGTTGGGTGACTGTAATTAAGAACCAGGCATTTCATTGGGAGAAAGTGGAGAAAGGAGGGTGGGAGGTGTGGATCTGTTCTTTGCCCCCAGGCCCCTCCAGCCCACACCCAAGAGGGAGGAGACGGGGGCCAATTAGAAGCTCAGGCACGTGTTATCGGGGCAATAACATAGGACGGGGAGAGAGGAGAGAGACGCCGAGGAGTCCTCCAAATAAAAGGCAGAGGGACAAGGGACAGGGGACGTGGTCATTCACTGAAAGGAGAAGCCGCTTTAATGGAATGGTAATCAGGAAGGGGGGTCCCGGCCTCGGTAAAGGAGGAGGACAAGGAGAGGTCCAGCCTGAGTGGAGATGAGTGCGTGGATAATAGCATGGCATAATAATATATCAAAATTTAGAGGGAAAATAAGAGAGGTTAAGGAAGGATATTAGAGTGGCTGAAATGTCCTCTGAGAAATAAAGGTGGACACAAGACCTGATTAACTAAGAGGGTATGCCGACAGTGAGCTTTTAGAGGTAGGCAATTTAAGACTATTGTGGACCCCTAATGCAACCCCCCCCTCACATACACACATCATCATGGACACACACACACACACACACACACACACATACACACACACACACACACATACACTTAGGTTATTTTTTATCCATTCAGCTATAAAATTTTTCCTTTAATAAACCCAAAAATATTAAATGAATGTGAACTTTGACTAAACAGACGAAAATCTTATGTATTTTATTATTTTTTTGATTCATATGTTCAGGAATAAAAATATATAAAAGAAGAAATGGTAAAAAAAAAAAAAAAAAAAGTGGGGAATAAAATATTATATAAAATATATATATAAAAAATAATTCAGCCCCTTTATTCAGGTGATGGAAATCCTTGAAAACACCGTATTAAAATTCAGGTGCTTTCAAGGATTGAAAAGTGCTTGGATTTTGAATTAAGTGCTTCAAATTGAAGGAAATTGTAATCGCACTACTCTCATTTAAATCACTTTCTGACCAAATAGTTTGCTTTTTAGATAAAGAAATGAAATAAATTGAAGAGAAACTAATTTCTTCTGCCATTCACACAAAATAACGCTGACTCCTCTCGAGCATCGCTTGCTGCTCTGCGCATGTGTGACCTGTTATTTTATTTAACGTATGCCCTCTGTTGGAGCAACGAAAACATGTCCGGAGGTTGCCGTTTCAATGAGGATTGGTTTAAAACAAAAAAATACAAGTCATGGTACAAATTTTTGGTTGTTTACAGCTCAAAAACATCTGATTTAAAGTGATGAGAATGTGAAATAATCAGTGTATTGTATAAATAGTACAGTATATAGAGACATGTATTCATTCTTCTATATGTGTCATGCCTTTTTGGCCCGTCCCATGTGGGATTACAAGACACTGTTACCTTATAGCCATCTCCTGGTCTTACATGTGGACAAGGAAAAGAAACAAATCAAAAGAAACGCAAAGAAATTACAACCCAGAACATCACAGATTAACGGCTCAAACATTTCCGGATTATCTCGATAAAGAGCCATCTTTCTTAAAGATGTCTTTATTGAACAGGACAGGTTAATCATGAAGGGGGGAGAGAAATGCAGCAAAGGGCCATGGCTGGAATCAAACCCGCTGCGGCAAAGACATTGCCTTTGTACATGTGACACCAGCTAACTGAGCTACTGTAGAAACCCTGAACACAGACACGCTGTAGTTAGAACATCATCATCATTTTGCAGCGTTATTGACAGGTGCACAGTCGTGTTGCACAACAGCAGTAAAATATGATGCATTGCAGAGCGTTCATGCCATGGTCACTACTTTTTCTGCTGCGTTGTGGAAACATTTCACAACACTATATAGAGGATAAATTTCACACAGAATTCAAACAAATGGTGGACATTAGATAAAGTGCACCATCTTAGTGAACAGGGTGAGATTTACAGTCGGACACAGCCTTGATGTTGATTTACACTACTAGATATTAGAATTAAAAATGAGGCATTAAAACATTTAGTTTTTGCTTTGTGACGTTAACTTATACTGGCATTTCAAAGATAGATTGATTGATATCTCTCCGAAATGAGTTGTGCCCAAATTTCATGATTGTAATTATAATATAAAGGAAGTATTTTACCATGTTTTACAGACAGGAAATAATGCAATACATGTGCCCTTAGTCAAACTGTGATTATGAAATGCCACTGCTTTACAAAGTGAAAATAATTTTAGAAATTAACACACTTTTTCCTTTTAGTGTGCATACTTTTGTGTGAACTTTATTTATATTTTGTCACTTTTTCTGTGTAAAAACAAAACATATTCAACTCCCGTTAAGACTCTGTTGTCATTAAATTGGTGCAGAGTCACTGAGCTTTGCACAATCTGCAAAATATGGCAATTAGTACATACAGTAGTACACAATAAACTCAAATATTTCCCTTTTAAATTTGGGGGGTTTTTTAACTCTGAGCCTATTACTATGTTGTGGTCTACTTGTGACTGATGTTTCATAGTAACAGCTACATTTTAGTCCTCTCTACATGTCTAAATGGCGTATTGTCAGTTCTGACGTCGCACTGTAACAGCCAAATAATTTAGTGTTTTTAATGACAGTTGTCTGTATGGATTTGTGATAATACTAAAGGTCAGTAAACTAAACTGAACAAAGTGTGTAGTGTGGAACTGGAGCACAGCATGTGTCTCTACACATGAGCACTCCACTGTATGTTACCTCTGCTAACGCCTCTCAGTTTAAAAGACTTTACCCACCGTGAAACCAGCCCCAGCCTCTGCCAACATGCTGGCATGGTGCCCCGGGCCCCTCGCTGTGCATGTGACCCTGCTGGCACCATCGATGCCAGGGATCCTGACAAATGTTGGCACCTTCTCCTTGACCAACAGGGGATTGTGTACGTGTGTGTGTGTGTGTGTGTGTGTGTGTTGTGGGGGGCCGCTCTGACAGAACTGCAACAGATAACACCTGGTTTGCTGTTTTTAGGTACCATTAATACATCTCTGGACTTACGGGGAATTGTTTAAACACTCAATCAAGGGATTTGGATACTTGGGAAAGAGGATTTGTCATTGGATTCTTTGGGTCACGTCAACTTTTGAAGTGGCTGCGTAATGAACCCCCCCAAAAGAAAAAAAGAAATGTTAACCGGAACCTGGTGAGAGAAACAGGCAGCGCTTACATGGCAGCAGGTTCAATATGTCTGCATTTCGGGCTTTTTTTGGACCCGAGTGATTAAATTGCATAGGGAATATTTCCATAGTGAGTCAACAACCATCGAGACGGACTTGAATAATACATCGAGCTTTGCTACATGATATGGGAGCCTTAGATTGGCGAGTCTTAACAGCAGCTCTTGGTCTTTACTGGAGAGCATTATGCAGAGCGCTCTGCTGCTGCCGCGCGTCCATCTCTTAGCCCTTGTGTTGTTGAGGGAGGGCAGCTTTCCCATCATCCTTTAGGTGAAGAAGGATGGGCTGGATGGGGTCGTGGTGAGCGTCGCAGAGAGGACGCTCTGCATTAATGAAGCTAATTTATCTGTGAATCAAAATGGGGGTGGGACTCCGGGGCGGGGAGGTGCTTTTTACATGTCCCATCAAAATGCCACTAAACCCTCCTCTCCTTCAGGAGTGTCACACGGGGTCACCTTGGGACAGGTGTGTGTGTGTGTGTGTGCGCGCACGTGTGTGTGTGTGTGTGTGTGTGTGTCTGTGTGTGTGTGTGTGTGTGTGTGTCTTACTCTCTTTGTGTGCCTGGTGTTTACTGTTTCTGAATTGGTCTCATTTTCTGTGCACTAATTCTAAAACCAATTCCTCCTAATTTGCTCATGTTCACCTTTCTGTGCTCACAGAATTAATAACAACATATTTTTTATTTAATCTCCTGCAGGGAATATCGAGTACAGCTGTCCCGCCACCAACGAGTGTGAGATCACCAAAAGGAGACGCAAGTCGTGCCAGGCCTGCCGCTTCATGAAATGTCTTAAAGTGGGCATGTTGAAAGAAGGTGAGTACTGATTTTATCACCTTGTCATTTTTGTTTGTCATGTTTTTCTAATTACTTTTGATTTGATTTCACTTTATTATCAGAAAGTATATGAAATTTGTCTTGCATCCTGGGACGTCAACGGTCTCACATAAATACCAAAATACACAACAACAAAACAACAAATCACACCACAAATTACAAAAGTAGACGCAGTGCAACATTAATTGTTCCCCATTACATTCAGTCTTTGACACGGGAACACTGAGGCTACTTAGATACCATACTCTCATTTAACATGTTGACAGACTTCTGGCTTTAAATCCACTTCAGATATCAGTCAAGAGATGAAGGACTGAAACAGTTACTCATGTAACTGATCAACAAAATGCGCTCGGCAGTCATTTTTGACAGCTGTTTAAATGTTATCACCAAATATTCAATTAAATTCAATTTTATTTATAAAGCCCAATATAACAAATCACAATTTGCCTCAGAGGGCTTTACAGCATACAACATCCCTCTGTCCTTTGGACCCTCACAGTGGATAAGGAAAAGAAAAAACAACAACAAAAAAAAAAACATGTTAGAAACCTCAGGAAGAGCAACTGAGGAGGGATCCCTCTCCCAGGACGGACAGACGTGCAGTAGATGTCATACAGAACAGATCAACATTATAAATTTGCAGTAATCCATATGACCAAATGAGACATAAAGAGAGACAGAGAGAGAAATTGTATTAAAAAAAAGTATAAAAAATGGTCTCTTTTGAGCTTTTTAAATGTATCGTTGCTCTTCTGTTGTATTATTCAAACAAACATTCTTAACAATTAAACCTGGGTATCCTGAAAAAACTGTGACGCATTTTTCACTCTTTGTTACACTTTAGATATAAATTAATCAATATTTGAAATAATTGTTAGCTGCAGCCCCGCTGAGACTTTAAACAGGGGTTATTGGTCTCAAGAGTTCAAGAAAATAATGTTAAAAGGAACAACTTAAAAGGCCCCAAAAACATATTTGAATATTTTTGTTAAAATAATGTTGTCAGGAGGAAATCTTATTTCTGTTCCTCTGATTTCTTTGTTTAATTATGATTTTTAACAATTAAGATGTCCTGTATAGAAGCAAAAAGCCTTATAATCAGCCAAGTTATTAAACTTTTTTTAAACCTATCGATGAACAGCTCATAGAGTATACCAAGGTTTATTTTTTTCTAGTGATGATACATATATTTCTCTCGTTTAGTGTGATATGTGAATCACTGAATCACTGCTCCAGTGTAATACCTAAATAACATGGTGCTTTATTATTCATTATTATAACAATTTCTTAATTTGGGATCAATAAACTACATCTATCTATCTGTCAGTCAAGATTTCATGACCTAATTTAAAACAAGTCAGGGGTTTTTAGCTCGCAAAGTGCTGACAAACAAAGGTGTACGTTTAGGGTTATATTGTGGATTAGAATAAAGAACAACAAAGGGTCCGTCTCCATCCTGAACTCAGAAGTAAATATTAGAAATTTAGCTATTTTTGGAGCACCAGCCAAACCTGTCTTTTATGGCATTAAAGAAAAGGACGTTATTTTCTTTAAGCCTCTTTTGTTGTGTCATAAAATAGGCTACTTCTTGCCTGGAAATGTCTCACCTGACCATCTCGATCTGCCTGGTTGGAGGATATAACGATCATTTCACTAAAAAAATGTGCACGTGTCTGTGTTGCCCCGTGAATGAGACTTACAAGTCTGGTGGGGTCACGTATTCATTTACCCAGTCCTCTGTCCTTCCCTTTTCTGATACATTACTGTAGTTTTACAGTAAAATGACTGTACTGTGAAATTTTACTTAATGGGAAATTAAAGCTGTTTGAATTTTTCACCCCATTGTGATTTGTTAAATACAAAATCAATGGAAATATCTGACCTTTGAATTTTGTGTACCATGCTATATAAAAATAATTAATAAAAACAAATATATATATATATATATATATATCCAAATTTTGAGCACAGACAGTCACAGAACACAGTGTCTCGTGTGCGTGAATATGATATGGCCGAGCAGTCTTACTGTGGATTAAAAGCAGGGTCAGTGATCAGATATTACAGCCAGCTGTGGCCTCCGGGAGACACCGGTGACATCAGCCACAAGCCTTACTCACCTCTCCTCACACCGCCGAGCCTCTCGACGTGTGGAAAAAGCTGCTGAGTTGAATGTTCCTACCGAGACCGACTGAGAAGTGTAACAGTACTCTTGAAAAGCACAGGCTGTTCCCCCAAGACTTCCCTCTCCCCTGGGCTCTGGGTGTCTCTCTCCCTCACCCTCTCTGTCTGTCTGTCTGCCTGCCTTCCCCCTCTCCTGGCATATTGATCCGCTAAATGCTTTCCGAACATCCCACCTCACTTCCTGCATGTGTTGTTTCTCCTCCAGAGAGAGACCTTTGGGAGTACAGAGGGAAAATCTAGCCGATAGATTTTCTTTTGCTTTTTTTTTGCTAAGGAAAGAGGGGTTTGTGTTTGTTTTTTTGCATCTGTGTGTTTAGCTAGAGGAGTTAGTTATGTTTTATAGAGAGTATTACAATACCTAGAGCTTCATGGTTCACCTTGTTGACAGATAGATTTTTATGCAATTTTTATGACCCCATTTTTAGGAAATTGTTGTCTGTCAACAATTGTTAGATACCGAAACAAAGAAGGTCACTGTACTGAGATGTAGCTTTTTGATAAATTGTTATTTTATTTTTATATCTTGTTTATAACACCGCAGGCAGGATGGCAGTAATGTGGGTTGTATTCAGCTGTTCTGCTGGTGAAATCATAATTCTGAAATCAAAGATACAGTACCTTCCCATTCTCCGTGTTGGATCAGCGCTCTGTAACATTACTGTTAAAAGGCAATATTAATATTTAGAAGTGTACTCTGACTTCTGCATAAATGATTTGATGCACACTTTGTTATTGTGGTAGTAAAACTCTTTAACGCTAGTGAAGGTGCTGAGTGTAAGTAAGGGAGTATTTATTTGTTGAATTCCATTTATTAGACTGGCACTTACGTTTTTTTACTTCAGATGAGGGGTTTTCAAACTGAAGCACGGAGGGAGGTATGTGAGGCAAGGATACTTTGTGAGGTGAAAGGGACAGGTGATTGCAGGTGTTCTGAAAACAACAGGAAGCTAAGCCGGCTGTACGCTGTGAAATTTTAGAAATGTTGTTTAATTCTAACTCCTACTGTACAAGTACATCCCCTGTGATGTAAAGTCATAGCGTATAAGTGCTCATACTGTATGTGTAAAATAGAAAATATAAAGGCCCGTCGGCCCCTGTAGACCAGTCTGACCATTTCCAATAAATATTTGTTTGATGGCTCCAAGGCTGGTAGAAGTTTGCTAGGGGATGTCTGTAACGTTACACCAGTACGTTTCACAGTAATGTGTTATTGTAAAAAGTTTCACTCGTTCATTACGGTCATGATAGGAGGATGAAACTTTAAAGTGGCAGGTATGCTGTCGCCACACCTCGACCAACCTGGCCTCCATAGTTTCTGTCCACACAGCAAATCGAGTCACCATGGCACCTTCAGACGCTCTGTTGGACACTTCATGCAGGCGCAGTTAGAAAAAAGGCCTGACGTTGGGGAATCGACTTGTAGCTGCGCTTTAACTGTTATTATAGATTTTTGTTTTTCATTCATTTTATTTTCAGGTAGTTTCCAGAGTGGGTTGGCTTTTTTTCTGTTTAGTTAATTCTTATAGTCTAAGTATTAATTTAGGGTTGTTTTCTCTGTATAGATTTAAGAAGACCACGGTAGGTATTACAATACAAATGCAACACTCTGTGAAGGCAGTTGACTCACAGTCAGAAAGACATCCCAGTCTTAATAAACATGTGCCAATGTCTCCTTGAGCTTGTTGTTTAGGAGAATTTGACCAAATTGACAAAGACTAAAACATTTCCTGTTTGTTTTTTTTAATTGATTTTTGTAAGTACAGAATATCATTTCAGTTTGTTTTCATTTTTCATTTTATTCTTAAGACAATTTTTTTTTTCGACTAACCAAAGTGTTTTTCCACACATAGTTTCAGTTTTTAGTTTAGCTTCAGTTAGCTTAGCAAGAGCCTGACGACAGTGGACCAAAGTCTCTGACATGCCAGAAATTTATCCGAACGTCCGACAGCCAGTAGGAAGCAGTTGATTGGACTCCAATCAGCCAAGCTCAAATTTTGTCCGACACTTAAACGGGTCATTTGGCTCAAAAATCAAGTCTGAAACAGGCCCAACTACACAGTGTATGTCCAGCTTTAGTCATTGTGATTTGATGTGGCCCAGCTGTTATTTTGTTTGGAGCTACAGCAGTGAGTGTAACACAACTCATTACCACAATTAGCGTCACAATGAATACTCATTCCCAGAGTCCTAACTCAGTCAAATCTTAATACACAGACGTAACACACAAATTTTTGTATTCATTGTTAGTATACTTTACAACAGTGGTTCCCAGCTGGTAGTCACGGTACAAAAGTGGGTCGTGGGCCCATTCTGAATGGACCACAAGTGACTTGCAAGTTTGTAAAAAACACACTTTATTTTCTAGTACAGTGAATTTCCAGCACAGAGCTTTTATTCTGAAGTGCCGTTTTCTGCTGTAGAGTGAGTGACTAACCAACTGCCACTTGACAGATACAGCAAAGTAGCAAACTAGTTCAGTGACATGTCCAAACTCAAACTGTGTGGACCTCAAACTAACAACCAAGGAGAAATCTGGACTCCGTGGTTTCACCAGTTGGGAACCACTGCTTTACAAGGATATCATTATCCCAGATCTCCACTCAAATAATCATCCACAAATTAGCTTAAAAAGCTAAATAAAAAGCTAAAAAATATGTTCTTTATAATGACCTTACCTGAGAACTGGGAGGGCATGATTGTCTCGATTTTGTCTGAGGCCGTCTGATGTTGTATCCCAGTTTGAAGATAGATTACACCAGGTTAAGCTCTGGAGTTTAGCCCACTGCCATCCG